TTAGGTTACTTTAATCGACTAAGAGAAATGAGTTTGGAAAGCCAAAAAACGCAGCTTTTCTGCAAGCCACTCTCTCGAACAGATATCAATGTGAGGCTTTCAGTTCCGATGGAAAGTTTAGATGCGTTTGAGTTCGCAGAGGGTGAATTCAAGGTAGATTTCAAAGCCATAGACATCGAAGAGAAGCCATGGAGATTTTGCCTCTCCAAAAGGGAGAATGATGTCCACCCCAAACCGGTGCTGTCCGCTGGATGGCTTGCTTATGTTCAGAAAAAGCGTCTTCAGAAAGATGATAAGCTCCTTCTCCACGTTGAACGTAAAGAGGAGGAGGAAAAGAGATACCGAATTCAAGTGCTGAGAAAAGCCTTCAAGCTTTGCGGATCGGACATTTGGGTCGACGTAGAGAACTTAAAGAAAGATGTCTAGAAAGTTACACCCATGAAAGTTCTTTGACGGGTTAGAAGGTTCTACTACATACCTCATGATTCTGCTTTTTCTGTTAATTAGAAAATAATACAGTGTATAATATTTAGAGTTTGGGATGGAATCTCTGCTTTGAAAGCCATTGGTGTCTGAACTGCCATAGCTTTTAGTGAGAAGTAATTATGTTCTCTACCTCTTTAATTATGGTCAATTTTAATTCTTCTACGGGCATTGAACAAGTTCCTTGAGAAAATGTTATACAGATTTCGTTATAGTTAAGCCGAACAGGCTCATGTCTATTGTATTTTCATCTTGTCTCGGTGACTTCAATGGATTTCACTCATGTATTATAGGTGTAATGGCTTGAATTCCACATCAATAAAAAATTGTAATTAAGTTTGATGCATATGTGTGGAAATCAACTATTATTAACAATTTAAGTTAAGAATTATTAGCCCAATAATAAAATTCAGCCTGGTTGTTTTAATGTTGTTCGTGTTACCGTTTATTGCAAGTCCTGGTTTTCACAAAGGTGTGGTACAAAGCTTTGTAAATTTCATTTAACTTCTATTATAGAGAACAAGTCACGCATAATTCTTGTGCATACCTGCTTAGAGGTATGCTGTCTTTCTCTTCTATATGCCGATTGCATGAAAATTCATCATTTCAATTCTCCTTTTTCCACCCTCCATAGTCCGTACTCCACTCATGACCCTACTTATTCAACTTCTCTATAATCTACCCCCATTTATTAATTATAATACTCCGTACAATATTATTAGAAAATATTTAGACATGACTATATGCAACTCAAATATTAAGACTCCACCTTTAACATTTAGAATTCTTCTTACCCCAATGACGTTGAAGAAATTTAAATATCTTTTTTCAACATAATTTGAATAACTCTTTAACAACTTGAGTAAATGTGAATAAATTAACTCTTTAAAATTTTTCTGAACGAACCTACTTAACTAGAACCAAGATCTGTTGAGGGAGAGAGCCTAATTTTTGAAAAAAGGAAAACAAGAAAAGGAAGCTTTAATAATGTTTACTAAGGACCAAAATGAAATCTATAAAAGGTTTTTTTTTTTCTTTTGGATAATTAGTAAATATTTTCTAGTTACCTTTGTGTCAAAAAATAAGTATTAAATAAAAATAAAATCACATCAATAACAGAAAAAGGAGGGAAAAATAAGCTTAATCACTCAGGAGTTTATTTTAGGTTAAGGGTAAAGTTTTTATCATTGACTCAGTAAAAAAAATTAAATGAAGTATATAGTTAAATATTCTAAATATATATATATTTTTGAACAATTGGTCATGGGGCAAGTCGAACCCACCCAAGGAGGGGGGATGCACCTTTTATTGTGGCAGTTGCCACTAGGCCCAAAGGCCAGGTGCAGTTAAATATTCTAAATTGATTTAAAATATAATAAAAAAAAAACAATTTAGGTTTTTTCCAGCAAATGTAGGAGGAACGAAGGAAAGTGAAGATGTGTTAGAAATTTATGGATTTTTTTGACAAAAATTTAAATTTCTTTTACCAACAATGAAGTTTAAAGATTAAAAAGTATTTTTTATATTTAATAAATTTAAAAAATAAATATTTTAGGAAAAAATGCCTTATATTAAAGAGATTGATAACTAGTAATAAAATTTATGATTAAAATTTTCAAAA